AAGTGGAAGGGAGCAGACCCTTCCAAGAGTTATTCTTTTGACATCTCTAAAGTTGAGCAAATTTTTGATTTACTCATGGCTGACAAGCAACTGATTTTCACAACAGACCACAAGATGCCATCAGCCTCATAAATGGCCGAGAAAGAGTATTGCAAATTTCACAATTTATGGAGGCATTCCACTAATAATTGTGTGATTTTCCATAATATAGTGCAAAAGGCGATCGAAGATGGCAGGTTAAAATTTCCAGAAAAAATAGAAGTCATGGGTGTTGATGAAAATCCTTTCCCTAAGGTTGTTGCCACAAATGTTACTTCCCTTGCCGTGGAACGCCCTAAGAAGAAGGTGGACTTGGCAAATTCAAGAGCTAGTGGAAAACTTGAAAGTCCCGAAGCTGCAGCATCCTTGGAAAAAACCGTGGTCGAGTTGGGAAAGCAACTCCGTGAGGCTCAATTAGCCTTAATCCAGTAAGGTTGTTACCCCAAGTGTAAAATTCAAAATGAAGGCTGTCATAGAGATGTTCCAAAGTAGAAGCTGTCCAATGATGACCGAGGCCAAAAAGGAAAGTCCATGATCGGCTGACTTTCCAAAAGGTGGAAAACACAGTTACTGTAACCATTCTAGAGAAGGAAAGCCGAGTCCATCCAGAAGGAAGGGTAGCAGAAAGGAGATCAGAATTCCTTCCAAGGAGTTTGGAAAGGAATATAATTTTCTATCAGGTAGGGCCTCCTCCTAGCTAAAAGTTTGAAAGGAGTAGATGGCAAGACAGAGGTTCTGAAGGTGACAGGCATTCCAGGCCAAAGATAGCCTCAGAGGTATGGGTTAAAAGGGGGAGTGAGCATCTCTGACCAAGAATGGTTAGACTTCCTACCTCGCAAGATGAAGGGTGGAGAAGGCTTGATCATCCCAAGTTCCCTATTCATGATGACTCTTATATGACCCGCATGCAAAAGCGAAGGCAGCAAAGGAAGAGGGCTAATAAAAGGAAATTATGGGAGAAAGACCATGGTTGGTCAAACTATCCAAAGAAGACTACTAAGCCATCAGACTTATCTGAACTTCCAACTAAAAGAGGGGTTAGAGATCTAGATGATTTATTGGATGTGGTTTCAGAGGTTGGAAATTCCTTGACTGCAGATGACCCTCCTACAAAAGATAAAACAGACTTAGAAATCTCCAATAATTTCAGCAGCAGAAAGAAGATCTATTTTGGGAGCCTTCCGGGTGAATTTACTTGCAACTGGCATTTGAGGCCTTTCCATTCTTTGGCCTTGGAACTACTTTGCCAGTTTAATGATTTCCAACCAAAATATTGGCCAAAACATTTGAACACAGAGACTGATGATCTAGCACAACTAGCCTCTCAAGTGAAAGTCCCACTGGGTGTAGAAGAGACCATGATCACAATCAAAAGAAGGACTCTCCCTTCTGTAGAGTCACGACATGAGATGGCAGGTCATTTCCAAACTAACAAGCCAAAAAAGATCAAGCCTGCCAAAAGGACATGGGAGATTTTCAATGTTGATATGGATGTATTAGACTTGGAAGATTGGAGAACACCAATTATCTAATTCTTGCAGGTGCCTAGTACCAATGTGGATAAAAGGGTTCAACTTTTGGCACCACATTACATTTTGATTAATGGAGGATCCCACAAGCATCCTGTGAATGGGGTATACTTGAAAGAGTATTATCCTTCCATCTATGAAGACTAGAAAGCCATAGTTATTTAGCCAGCCACATAATGTGGCTGGCGCTGTCCTTTCCAAGTGAACCAGAAAGTTGGAAAGGAAGCGTAATGGCCATACTTCGGCCATTCCAAGAAGGAAAAGCTAAGTACTTGGAAAAGTACATTGGCTAAAGTAATAATGGAGACTTAACTAAATTTCCAAGATCAGCTAATTTCCTAAGTATGGAGCATTTCATTGAAAAGAGGCTACATTACATGGTCCAGGTTGTATTCATACTGAAAATAACTCATCTTGCTTATACATGCATTTCAATTTTAGCAATTCCAAATTAAGTCCAGCCATATTGAAAATACCTCAAAGAATTCTTTCTTATCCTTTTGCTTTATACAAAAACATCATTTCCTTCTTCCAGTACTTCCACTTCTTCTTCTTCAATTTCTTTTTATTCTTCTTCATGATGGCGGAATTCAAATCCCATGCCTTATCATCAAGTTGTTCCACAAGGCATGGAATTTGGGGGGCATATGTTTATTCCATTATTTTTGGCCCAATGGAAATGTGACATGTGGCGAGTTCCAATGGAACTTACCACACTGGATCGCAACTCTAATAAATTTTATTGGAAACTATGTAATATTATGTAGTAATTGAAAGTGGACCAATACAATCCTACTATATGGGGTTTTTCTATTTTGAAAGAAAAGAGGTGAGTCCTATTAGGACTTGCCATCTTTAAAATAAGGGTCCACATCTTCCTATTTGGAATGAAGAGATTATAGGGAAATACTATACTATATTCAACCTCATACACTTATCCAAGTCAAAGTTCATCCAACCAATTGTTTTTTCACACATGACGAGTTCTACTGAGCTTACCACAGTGTTGACCACGTTGGATCAATTCTTTTAAGAATTGGTATTATGGAAGGTTTATGAAAAGATCGTGCTTTTAAAGAATCCTAAAAGGAAGGTTTTCAATAACGTCAAGGCAAGAGTTGACCAAGAGAACGTGGGGCTGGATTCTCTCCTTATTTTTAGGAGATTTCAATTGTTTAGCCAAGTTAAACCATATTGCTAAAAGGAAGGAGACGTGGGAGTTTAATTTATTTCTATAAATATATGTGTGAGTATATATTTATGTATCACTTCAACCCACGATGAGGTAACTACCGTAAGTAAAGATGGAGTCCATGACGTCATGAATTTTAAGCCCATAAAAGAAGGTTTGGTTGAGATAAATTGCAAAAAATCAAGGGAACATGGGCAATGATTTATATTTATGGATATATATATATATATATATATATATATATATATATATATATATTCATTATATCAGATACACACCCACGATGAGAAGGAGCTGCTGTAATTTTGGAAGCCACGATGTCATGTACTCTAAATTCAGAAGGAAAGTCTGAAGAAGGGAAGTTATAGGAATTGAGGATGCCAACCCACGATGCTTCTATATACATGCCTGATGTATATAGAATTATACAGGTAGAAGGATTCTCAGAAGAAAAGAACGTAGAGGATGATATATATTTATGCATACATACATATATATATATATATATATATATATCTCAGATATACAGCCCACGATGGAGAAGTTGCTGAAATTGTGAGGAGGGCCACAATGCCATGATTCAGAAAGGAAAGTCAAGACCATAATAAGTTACCTAAAGCTTAGGAGATGTGGGACACTTGGCCAAACAAGAAAGCGTCGGCTGAGAGTGGTGGAATTTCTTAAGGAAACTACTACTAGCTGAAGTAGTTGTTGAAGAAAGTGGTTTAAATCGTGTCTGAAGAAGGAAGAAGTCTACGATAGAGGAAGAAGGAGATAGGAAGAAGAAGTTATAACTGCCAAAAGAACGTGGGGCACTTGGCAGTCCAAGATCTGGCCACGTGTAAGTCGTTGGAGTTGCCACATCAAGCTGCTGCATGTATGGTAAACTCTATAAATAGAGCACTTAGAGCTAGTTTGCAAACCCTATTCAACACACATAACCAACAGCACTTCAATTTCTTTACATTCATGTAAATCAATTTCAATATGTTTAATTCAAGTCCCGCACTTATTATTCCAACTTTCCAAGACTTTACTTTAAAGTCCCGCACTTTCAATACCGCTTTCCTTTCCATTATCCATAGTTCAGTCTGAAAGTCCTTTTTTAAGGCAAAAAGAACCTTTGAAGGTGGTAATTCCAGTCCTTCATTCAATTGCCTGATCCCTATAATCTCTTACTGGATAGTTGTTCGGATATCCACTTTGGAACGACAGCAGTTCCTGGCACGCCCGACATCCACTCTTACTTTTCATTCACTTGGAAAGTGGAACTAGCGCTTTTTCGCGAGCCAAACAGAATGAAAATGAAACCAGCTCCTGGGTTATTCACTTCAAGAGGTGGAGATGATGTTAATGTGAGATGCGTAGAAAGAGAGAAACAAACTCTCCTTCATTTTAAACAGGAGCTCATCGATGATTATGGTCTTCTCTCTTCTTGGGGGAGCACAACAGGAGAGAAGAAAGACTGCTGCAAATGGAGAGGAGTCCGATGTAGCAACAACATTGGTCATGTCATTATGCTTGATCTTCATGTCCCGCCCCCTATTTACGAATTGTATGGTGCTTATCAGCCTTTGAGAGGTAAGATTAGTCGTTCATTGTTTGAATTGCAGCATTTAAAGTATTTCAACCTCAGTTACAATGATTTTGAAGGGAGCCGCATCCCAGAATTCATTGGTTCCTTTAGTAGATTACAATACCTCAACTTTATAGTGGCTGGCTTTTCCGGCAAAGTTCCTTATCAGTTTGGGAACCTTTCAGAATTGTGCTCTCTTGATCTCAGTGGTAATGGACTGAGTGTAAAAATGCTTAAGTGGCTTTCTCATCTTTCTTCATTGAGATACCCGATATGAGTTATAATGACCTTAGTGAAGCAACCGATTGGATTGAGGCAACTAGTAATCTACCTCTTTTAACAAACTTGCACTTGTTACATTGTGATCTGCCTGCTGTCATTCCCTCCTCTCTTTCATTGATTAATTCTTCATTGTCTCTTGCTTCCCTTGATCTCTCAATGAATTTTTTCACATCTTCAATATTCAGCTGGTTGTGCAACTTCAATAGTAGTCTTGTTGAAGTGTATCATTCTACTAACAACTTGCAAGGTCTTATTCCAAATGCTCTTGGAAACCTGAATTTCCTAACCCATCTCGATCTCTCTTACAATCATCTTGGAGGTGGGATTCTAAAATCTTTTGGGAACTTTACTAGTTTACGAACATTAGATCTGTATGAGGAATCTCTGATCGGAGGGAGGTCGCAGCTCCGGTGAGGTCTCAGTCTCAACGGAATCTCCAAGGATACGGACGAGAATTTGGATCTCTTCTCTAGGAATCGCCGGAGTCTCTCCGTTGCTTCGTCCGACGAATCCGACGGTACGATTCCTCTTCATATGCACCGCATTATCCTTCTCTTTGAATCTCACTACTCCTTATGTACTTGTGGACTGTGATATTTCATTCAAAGCTGTATGATTTAGTTTAATGCACGGTTAATTTTGATATGATTCTGTTCAATCAGCTAATTAATGCCTTCACAACTTGTTCATAATTTAATTCATACATGTTCAATTATTGGGATTTTATGAAGCCAGAGCGTTTTAATTTCAGTGCTAGTTTACTTTTCATTACCTAATTGCAGTTTCAGTGAAATTGGGGAGACTTTCAGTTGGATCAGCGAAACCCTACATATATATTTATATATGTTTGGTAGAATTTAAATCTTGTCCCGAACTCTATAATTGTTTAAGTAGACTTCTCGTATATGAATTATGGAAATAAAAAATTGGTCCCCAATCCATTGGTTTCAGTGTAATTAAATTGTCTAATAAAAAGATTGAATTTTGGTCAGATTGTGTCGAGTAAGAGTTGTTAATATCCATTGTAGTCCTATGTTGATCTTTGTAAGATACAAACATTCCAAAATGTGACTCACTTACATAATTTTTTGTGCATTTCCTGAGAACTTGGGAAAGGGCAAAACTTGCCAGCACATTGGATCTATTTGGTATGTAGTGATGCAGAGAACTTCATTCACTTCAATTTTGATAGAGTACATATACATATATACATGCCTATCTATCTCTTCAATTTTGATAGAGCGTACATATACATATATACATGCCTATCAGTCTCTGTAACGACCCGAACCCGAGGGTCCAAATCACTAACTGGGTCCTTACTCGAACCCGAGGTTAACTAAAGACGTGTCATCCCAGGGTTTATAAATAATAATAATAATAATAAATGAGATCATAGTTACAAAATAGGTCAAAATAGTCCACTAACCCATCAAAACCTGTGAAGGAAAGTCATCCGCTGTAATACCCCTAATTTTAAAAGGATAGTCTCGGTATTTTAATTGTATTGTTAATTATTTAATTGATTATTTGACTAATTGTTTATGGATTTAATTGAATTTGGTATTACTTGATTATTTGATTATATGTCTATGTATTATTTGTATTTGTCTATCTGTTAATTGTTTAATTAGATTATGTGCTTAAATGGTGTTTTGATTAATTGTAAATTAAATATTTTTTTTCTTTTATTATTTTATTTTATTTTTATTTTATGGTTATGGTTAGTAATAATCAACCAATTGGGTCCCATGGACTATTTGGATAGGAGGTTGGATGTGTATGGATTATTACCTATGAATAGTTGTGTATGAATATATATAGATATATATTATATACATATATAAAAAAGGAAAGTAACTTATTAATTACTTTTATGGTAACTTGGGTAGTAAGATTTAATCTGATGTATATGTTTTATATTTAAATTATAAAAATATACATAGATTTGATACGTGTTATGTTTTAAGTTAGTTTATAATATTATAGTAACTTAAGTATTATTGGATAATCCATTAATAAATAATGGAGCATGTATAATTTATTTATTTAATAAACATATATATAAATTATATACGTAACATATTTTAGTTATCTTTTTAATATATATAAAAGGGAAAGTAATTTATTAATTACTTATATGGTAATAGTAATATTTAATATGATGTATATGTTTTATATTTAAATAATAAAAATATATATAGATTTGATACATGTTATGTTTTAAGTTACCTTATAATATTATGGTAACTTAACTATTATTAGATAATCCATTAATAAATAATAAGATGTGTATAATTTAGTTATTTAATAAAGATATACATAAATGATATACTTAACATATTTTACTTACCTTTTTAATATTTTAATATTTATTTTTTTTAAGTTGACTTGGATTGGGAAAATGGTTAGGGTTATTTTATTTAGCATATAAATATATAGTTATAGGTTGTAAAAGGGAGTTAGAAATATTCACGTGATATATTCTAAAGAGAGAGAGTTAGAGAGGGAAGGAGGAAAATGAAGGAAGGAGGAAAAAAAAACCCTGTAGAGAGAAGATCAAGAAAGAAGAAGTTTAACTTTCGATCCGAAAGTTTAAGGCAAGTTCTTTTTCTATCTCTTTCCCTTTGATTCATGTTTCTATGCATGCCTAGGAAATTTCAGGATTTATTAACCACATAAAATTAAATAATTATGCATGTTTAATTGGATTAGAACATAGGTTTTATGAAATTGGTTCATATATGTTCTTGTGTTTTGAATTGATAAATGCATGATTTTGATTTGATTTTCGGTGTGAATTTTTATATGTTTACATTATGTATTTTTTATATCTGTGGAATGATGGAACGTAGAAACATGCCTAGGATTTCTGAACATTAAATAGGAACGAGGTTTGGGTTTGAATAAATTTAAATAGACTCAATCATAATAATGTTTGCTATTTAAATGTTTTAAACAAACGAAATGATTTAATCTTTTAAAATGTTTTAGTAATTGAGATTAAATGTGTAGGATGAATTGAATATGGAGAATGCTTATTTGACGGTATAATAAAATATCATCATGTATAAGATTCAATTTGTGTAAGACATATGATATAGGAAGCTTAAATAAATAATAAGTCATTCCTATTTTGTGATAACTTGATATCATATCATTATAGTTATTTCTGGATTGTTTGATGTATTTTCTTAATCGTTACATCAATTGTTGGATTGTGTGGTTTAATGCACTGGTATGGGACGGTGGTATTCTAGGGACAGATTAACTTATCAGTTAAGTCCTACCTATTTTATATAAGGGAATGGATTAACTAAAATGTTAAGTCCTACTTATATTCAAGTCAGGTCAGCTGAACAAGTTGAATGACTTATGGAGGATTAATTTATTATATAAGGGAATGGATTAACTAAAATGTTAAGTCCTACTTATATTCAAGTCAGGTCAGCTGAACAAGTTGAACGACTTATGGAGGATTAATTTATACTGGATAGGATGGTTACTAGATTATATATATATAAGTTTGGTGCCATGATATGAGCTTGAGTCTCAGGATCAGTGGTTAGGGCGCGTATATCGCCAGGGATGTGTAGCTAGATAAAGTGTAGTTGTGTACCCTGGTAGGTCTAGGTACTCATGCCCACTATATGTGCGTTTTGCATGTTGCCTACTATTCAGGTTGAGACAATCCTATAGTCTAGTGAGGTTCCTTTAGTGTGTGTATATATATATATATACGGACTATTAGTTACTGTTGGATTGACTAGGATGTATACGTGTATCGGATCTCTGCTTGAACTGTAGTAGAGTAGAACTTGTTTGTGGGCTTGACCCACCATTATTTTTCAGGTGTTCGTCAGGAGTAGAGGTTGTTTGTGCTGAGCGAGGATCAGTTTACTTCATTCTTCCGATGCTACATAGGAGTTCCTTTATGATTCAGTTTCCTGATTTAGACAGTTATTGTTGTCATTTGTTTAGTTTGGATTTTCAAGGGGTCCGCACAGTCTGGATTCCCGAGTTGTATTTTGAAGGATCAGTTGTATCAGAAGAGTTTATTAACTAATGGAAATATATTCTGAGGTTTATTATTAGATTATCATTTTAGTTTCTTGTCAGCATTTTATTTATTCTCTTTTATTCTTTTGTACTCTGTGTTCGTTTATTATCAATTTATTTTGATATCCTCGAGTATTCGAGCGTGGGCCTCGCCACCACGCATTCGGAAATCCGGGGGTATCATATCCGCCGCTTCCTTCCCGTTACCTAAAAATGTTAAACTGATGGAGTGAGCATAAAGCTCAGTAGGAAGTGTTTAAGGCACACCTCTTATGACCCCGTTAATCTATATAAGGAATATAGTAGAAGTAAATGGGATCATACCTCGGGGAAAACAAGTAAAGTAATGATAATAATCAACAAATACATACGCAAGTCGTATAATCACCAAATATACAATGTATGCCAATGCAATGCCATGCTAGGCAATGTCGCTCCCCATTTCCGAAACAATACTGTTTCAACTTCCAAACCATTAGTGCAATCCGACCCAAGGCACCTCTACACTACAAGAAAAACAATTTTTTACTACGCACTTTCTACCATGGTTTTAAAATAACTGTGGTAGAAAGCATATTTTTTTACCACGGTTATTTTAAAACCGTGGTAGAAGAGCCTTTCTACCACGGTTAATGGAAAACTGTAGTAGTAATTATATATTTCTACCATGGTTATAAAATAACCATGGTAGAAAGTGAACTTATTTCACCACAGTTAAAGGAAAACCGTGGTAGCAATTATATTTTTTACCACGGTTTTAAAATAACTGTGGTAGAAAGTGAATTTATTTCACTTGGATTTATGTGGGGCTTATTGTCGCTCTTTCTACCACGGTTAATGAAAAACTGTGGTAGTAATTTATTCTATCACGGTGGAAAGTGAAATATTTTCACTGAGTCGTACGCGGGTTTTATTCTTGCTAGTTATTTTTTAAAAAAAATAAAAAAATAATATTTATATACAAAAATAGATATACTCACACACGTACAGACACACACATATAATTTTAGGGTTAATCATTTCAGCCTCCCTAATTGCCTCCATCTCTATTCTCGTTCTCAACTCTGAACTTGCCCTCTCTCTGTCTCTGTAACTACAAACTACAAAATCTACAAGAATCAGAAGTTCAAAACCCATATAATTCAGTTTATCTATCTGTCTGCAAGAATCAAAATTTCAAAACCTATTACCTATATAAAAACCCATATCGGCATATCATTTCAGATTGTTCAAAAAATCAAAACCCATATCCTTTAGTTTCCATCACCGGCCACTGTTCCAGTTCTGGTTCGCCTTTCGCAAGCTTCAGCAGCTGGCCCGCTGTCTCTCAACTCTCAATTCTCAAGCCCCTCTCTCTGTAACTGCTAACTGATAAGTCATTTCTTCATTTATTCAATATAAATATTTTTAGGGCAAATCATTTCAGCCTCCCCAATCGCCTCCATCTCTATTCTCGTTCTCCACTCTGAACTTGCCCTCTCTCTCTCTCTCTCTCTCTCTCTCTCTGCAACCGCAAACTACAAAATCTACAAGAATCAAAATTTCAAAACCTATTACCTATATCAAAACCCATATTGGCATATCATTTCAGATTGTTCAAAAAAACAAACTCCTCAATTTCCTCCATCTTTTTAATTTTTTTATTTGTTGTCAATTATGTTTACAAGTGTGACGTTTCCGATTTTCACCATTTTTAATTTTTTCAGAATTTTGTCGCCGCAAGGGCATTTTCATCTTTTCACGTTATGTGTACGGGATTGTGGTTGGGTCT